CGACCGTAATGCTAACTGCTATGTCAATGAATGCCCAATGTTTTCTGTGTGGAAACGGATAATCTCACCAGTAACATTTTAAATAAAGTCCTCAAGTAACAGTTATAAATTCATATTCATACATAGAGGGACATGGCAGAAAAAGTGAAATTTGACCAACTTCACGAAATTATTTTACAAGTGAAAATACTAAAACCAATAGAACATTTGTTCAATAAACCTAACCACTAAAATTAATGAAGGTATATCAAGCTGCCTAGCATTCATCTTGCCAATAGACACACGTGCTCAAATTAATTATTCAAGTTAATCAATACTAACGACATCTTGTGAACGTTGAATGTGTTTTCATCTTAACGTTATCTTTAAGAATTCAGATGTCGAAAAATAATCTTCTTTTATAATCTGTAAGCAAGATCTGTAATTCAATGGACTGAACAGTTCGCTGTAGTATATTCTACAAATACAATCAAAGAATATATCTAATTAAAGACATAAAGAATACCGATTATTTTAATTTCTGTAATTAGTTTATAAAATGTATGAAAAGCACAAATTATAAAACAATTCTGCTGAACTTAACATACAAGAAGTAAATTTCATTTCAGTCGAAGCAAATTACTTTTTTTTTGTTCAACTTAATAAAATTTGAAACCTTTGATTTGTAATAAATATCGATAAAAATGTTTGACTTCTCTACAGTCACACATACACACACACACACACACACACAATATATATGTAGATGAGAGAGAGAGAATAAGTATATATATATATATATATATATATATATATATATATATATATATATATATAGTTGGATTCATGTGAGTTTGTGATCCTGAGTTTCACGCTATTTACGATCATCAGACAAACGAATTAATTTTTAAATTTTGGATTTTTATATGGTTGCGTATATCGGTCTTTTTATGGTAGTGGGAGGAAAATTGTCGTCCGAGTGCCACTCATACTTATGCAAACATACATACACGCACGTTCACTCATTGGATCTCACACAAACATAAACATATGTGAACAGTGTGAAACTGGGCATATATGTGCATCCATGTGTCGTTACGTACATACGAACGCATTTGGTCGCTGTATACAATGTTGGATTGTGTAGCGAATATCTTTTTTTCGGTTGCAGTGTCAACGCGCAGAACGTTCGTCTATTTTGTTCGCTGAATAATGTTTTCTCGCACACACGTATATACATATGATGGGATCTGTGTAAGACTATGGTAGGTAAAATTGCTATTATTTTTTAATGCTGTTTTGTTATTATTTTAAAGCCGGTTATTCGTTTGTTTTTGGTGATTACGCATAGAAACTCCAATGGTAGAAACTCCAATTTATAATACTTATTAGTATTTATGCGGTAGTATGAATTTTGCTGGGGGCGGGGGAGTAAGTATAATTGTGGACTGATGCGACAATGGTAATAAGTATCTGTCTATATTTCTGAGATGAGGTATTATGTACACTATTTACATTATTCGGACTATTGTCCTCATCTTTGATTCGGCCGTTGTACGCTCCGGCCGTCTTCAGGTGGTTGGAATGTTGAACTGAACCCTTTATTTCGCTCACTGTTCCACGTGCCATGTCTAAATGATGTCAGTTATCAGTTATCTCCTGTTAATTCCCTTTCCAAGTTCCCCACCGCCTTAACCAGATATTGAACTCACTCTCTTTGGGTCCTGTCACTGGATCTAACTAAGGACTTTATCCACTGTACCATGTGTCTTTGGGGACATCTCTGTAGAAATTTTTTGGGTATTATAAGCCTAATGTCTCCAGCAACCATTTTTTTTTGCAATTTTTGCTTTTATCATATCATTTTTTTACCAGAGCTCATATTGCATTTTTTTTTTGTTATTATCGCTTTTTTCTGGCACTCCTTATTACTGGTTCCCATATTGTATTCATTTCTATGCTTGGTCGGCTCAGGAGATTTTCGTAGCCTAGCATATGTGCTGATTCCTCAAGTTTACGATTTTTCCAATGGTGTTTTTTGTCTATGATCTCAACCTGATCCCACAGAGGGCAGTGATCTCCCTTTTTCTCTCCATATGTGGCCAGCCACGCCTGATTTTTCCACTTCTCCTAGTGTTACAGCTTTCTGGTGTTCTTAAAGCCTTACCTTAAGGGGGTGGCCTGTCTCCCCTTTATATTTCTTTTCGTAGCTGTATGGGATGGCGTATACACAGTCTTTAGTCATGTTCTCCTCTATGGGGGGTCTTACTCGGGAGAGATATCTGCGAAGTATCGTCAAGCTTTTGAAGGTTGTCCTGATGTTATATGGACCGCAGATCCTTTCTATTTTCTCCGATTCATTTTTTTTCTAATAGACATAGGTTGCTTAGCCCTCTCCCTACCTGAAAATGGTTTGGTTTGGGCTATCAATTCCCAATTTAGGTGTGTAGTGATCGATAATATAAGTTGGATATGTCAAATTTACATATCCAACTTTTACCAGTCGATCGCTGAAGACTGATTAATGGCTGCTATAAACCTGAATAAAAAATATTGCACCATCCCGGACCAGGATATCAGCATAATCCTACAAGACCCAAAACCCATCATATACTATGATGGCTCTTTATGGACAGAAAAAGTCTATACCAACTTCTCTATAGCGATGATTGCGTTCAACTTCTCAGAAGCTTGTGAACTAGTCGGCATACTACTACTATGAAGGCTCAAATATATTTTCGATCGTGGGAACACCGGACCGTACAGGAACGACGGAGTGATCCTTCTACGTAACTCCAAGCCACAAAAAACTGAACGGCTTAGGAAACAAATAATCAAATTATTTAAGGATCACGGACTTAACATCACTACTGTCATCAACGCCAATGTGATCAATTTCCTAAACACTACATTCGATCTATCTCGAGGAATGTACATGCCTTTATTAGGGAACTTTATAATCATACATATATGAGTAGAGAATCTAACCACCCGCCGTGTATCTTTAATAACCTCAACAAATCTGTACAACATAGACTCTTTACTAACTCCAGCAGTAAATGCATCTTTGACAAAACCAAACCAAATGTGTTGATGCATTAAATAAAAGTAAGCATAATGTTGAACTAAAGTACATCCCTAACACTAGTGCGAATACTAGTAGTAAACCTAACAGAAAGCGCAACATTATTTGGTTCAATCCGACCTTCAACAGTAACGTCAGGACCAACATCGATAGAATCTTTCTTGGGTTAGTACACAAACATTTAAGTCATAATCCAGGACACTACTTAAAAATCTTCAACAAAAGCATTAAGGTTAGCTACAGCTGCACTAAAAATCTTGAAGAATATTTAGCCCAACATAATAGTGTATCTCTTGACAAATACTTAAGCAGCTCTAGTAGCAACGATAGACCTGATGATCAAAAATGTAATTGTCGTAAATGTGTCCTTTGTCTCATGAACGGCAAATGCATGTATAAAGGAGTTATCTGTAAGGGTAGCGTCAAGCACAATGATCAGATTAAATTTATTGCGGATCTACCGCTAATAATTGGAAAAGTCGTTTCTATAATGACAAAATGACCCTTAACAGCAAAAGATATGTAAGCGACACAGCACTCTCTAAGTTTTACTGGAGTATCAAAACACATCTTATGTAAATTGGGAATTCGTAGCCCAAACCAAACCATTTTCCGGCAACCTATGTCCAGAAAAAATTCATCCTCAAAAATATTAACAAAGTCTACTTAATAATCGGAACGAACTCATGATCGCCTGTAGGCACAGAAAATCGTTTCTCTTAAAATACTGGAAACCAGATTCCTCTTTTTTTATTATATTTTTCTTTTATTAAGCTTTAGGTTTCATACCCGCTTATCTCCCTTTAACCTGGTGAGCCTTACTATATCAGACCCAGAGCAGCGTCTCCAGTAATAATTTTACATTTAAATTTCTATTTTTTCCTTTATTTATTTTTATTTTTTAGATTTTAAATTTTCTTTTTTTTGAAAAATGAACTCTATCTGTATCTCATTTCCTACACCTTTTGTACTATTTTATTTTTGGTGTATGAAGCAACGATCCTCCCGTGTGACATCTGTGTATTTTTCTAAACACATAAGAAATAATTTGTGCCCGATGAGCTGGAAAACCAGCGAAACTTAAGTCGCACCCTAAAACATAGATATATGTATATGTATATTTATTAATATATTTCACTTTCAAGAATTTTTTCTTCTGCACATATATTTATGCTTTTACACACAATCTGTCCTTGATATTGAGCAATTTTATCCATAAATATAGCATATTTTAACTATATGTGTGTGTGTGTGTGTGTGTTACTTTTAATGTTATATTTAGTGGATACACGTGTTTACGTAGACATCTCTGATTTTAAACAGTATAAATGAACGTCTACCGGTTTGAGCATTCCAGCGCTTTAATAAAGGAGATGTACTTTTCGATCGAGTTTGAACCTTCGTCTCTTCTGCTGGGAATATTATCTTTAAGCCAAGTTAAATAGAATTTCAAATAATAAATAAATATTGGGAAAATTCACACGCGGACTTATCAAATTATATTAGATTATATAATACATGTACTAAAAGCATGTCTGTCATTTTTACTGTTACGAAAATAAAGAAGTGTGTACTGAAACGTTCTCAGTCCGACCATGAAATATTCAAAAAAATAAACATTCTGATCTCATTTTGTCAGATTTTGGGAAGTAAGTCTAGTCAAGAACTTTACCTCGTCAGATTCTAGTATTTTACCCACATCTGCTAAGAATTTTCTTGGTGAAGATAAGGAGTTATAGTTGGATTTCTGACCTCGTAGAAATGATTCCTTACGGGTAATGAATACTCGTTTATTTCTTGTGAGAATATCAAAATACTAACAAAAGCAATCATAGCGAAAAGAAGAACACATGATCAGTGAACAAGGAACGTGAACGCACGGGTTATTGCTAAATTCTGTTTAGCGCTGATATGAGATGAAAGGAGAAAAAAAGGTTTAAGTAATATGAGACAAAAAAGAAACAATAGAAAGAAAGAAAGAAAGAAAGAAAGAAAGAAAGAAAGAATAAATAAAATAAAGAAACAGATAAAGAAAGTGAGGGGGAAAACCTTCAGGATAAAGAAAGACAAATAGAAATATCAAAAGTGAGAGAAAAGAAAGATGAGTGAGAAGGAAGAATTTGTAAATGTGGGTGTGACAAAAATCCGTGAACAAATGAGAGAGAGAGAGAGAGAGAGAGAGAGAGAGAGAAATATGTGTACAGAAGAAGGAAAATATATCGAATGAATTAGAAATGAATGAACCTAGAGAACGATAAAATGAGATTAAGGCCGTTAAAGAAAAGATGTGTCGACAAGAAATAGCGAATCGATGAAGATATTAAGAATAACACGCAAGATTATTAAGTAAGACATGAATATGCAATAAGATAAGAAAAATCCAAACGAGGAAAAGATGCCAGAATGATTCAGGAAGAAAAATGGCACGTTGAATAGAAGGAAAAACAGAGAGTAATATCAATGAAGCAAAGAAAACGAGAGATAAGCGAGGAAATGAGTTTATGCTTGGAAAGGAAAAAAAAAAGGCTAATTAAAAAAGAAAAACATTTGACGATGAAATTACAAAATGGCACCAGGCATTCGTTTTGGTGACAGGTTTCCTTTCCCTTTTGGCATCGATACCTGAAATTACATGATAACGTCGTTGTGTGCAGTTTTAAGAGAAGATACAATTTAGTCACATCAAAATAATAATATCTGTAAAAATACTCTCAAAATGGCCGCCCTTTGCAGTTCGTAATCATGCGCTTGAGTGATCACGTGCTTTGCTAACTGCTCTTCGACATGTGAACACACACACGCGCTCGCATGCACATAGATTCAATATTGTAAGGTCTTGTGGAACTTTTTAACAGCATGAGAACAAGATCCAGTTTTTGCATAAGTGATTTTAATTACACCAAATGAGGGGTTCGGGTGTACATTAGTTTCTAGTAAAAGACCATAAAGAGATCTGTGAAGGAAGGAACAGTTGGTTTCTTCTTAAATATATGCATGCGACTTAATTTTTTTTCAAATTTTCCTCCACCAGTCGGTTTGAGAATATAGAGATGATTTTATATCTAAATATATTCGGTTGTTTCCAAATTTAAACATCATTTTTTCTTGGTTTTGCCCCAAATGTGTAGCAAGTGTCTAAGTTGTGTTTCGCAAAGTTTTCGAAGAACATTGACTATTTTCAAAACAAAATCAGGATTACATTATTATGTGTCTATGATATTTGAATTACGTGTATATATTTGAATTATGTGTATATATTTGAATTATGTGTGTATAATATTTGAATTGTGTGTGTATATTAGAATTATGTGTGTATGATATTTGAATTGTGTGTATATAATTGAATTGTGTGTATATGATATTTGAATTACGTGTGTATGATATTTATATTATGTATGTATGATATTTGAATTGTGTAAGATATTTGAATTGTGTGTGTACGATATTTGAATTATGTGTGTATGATATTTGAATTGTGTGTATATAATTGAATTTTATGTATATGATATTTGAATTACGTGTGTATGATATTTAAATTATGTATATATATATATATATTTGAATTGTGTAAGAAATTTGAATTGTGTGTATAAGATATTTGAATTATATGTATATCTGAATACAAAAACAATAAAATAAAAAATAAACGGAAATCGTATTTTTAATAAGTATACGAAACTTGATCACTAATTCCGTAGACTGACCCGGAGTTATTAATTGAATTTTGATTGAAATGTTCACTGTATAATGTTAGATCGATCTGATTAATATTCAGTACCAAATTAAGTGCATTGATAAAAAAAGAGACTATGTTGAAAACGAAATATTTGTTGCATAAAATAAATGTTTATTCGTCATTAAGACTTATTGATATACCTACGTTATTATGGTATATAACATTTAATTAATATGAAAAAAATACATAAAATTACAGCCATTGAAAATATATATATATATATATATATATATATATATATATATACATATATATATATATATATATATATATATATATATATATATATATATATATTTCTTCATAATCTTTGATTATTCAGATTTTATGACTGTATACATATGTGTATATATATGTGCGTGTGAGCTCGCATTTCTAAGTTGAAAATTATATTCATGTAAGACAATGCTACTTCATATTCTGCAAAGTGAACTGTTACCCAACTCTCCCCACCCCAAAGATTTCAAAGACAGCAAATTAATGGATTAGCCGCCAGCCTCTTCAGATATTAATCCAACAGAAGGCCTGTGATCTATCCTTAAAAGATATTCAGAAGCGAATGAAAAACAATATTCAAGGAAAGAAGATTTCTTGGGAGCAATCAAAACTGCTGCAAGTAATGTTAAAACCAGTAGCAAAGTTAAGAAAATCAATGAAAGATTAATGAAGATTATAGAATTTCAAGGGACCATATTAACATATGTAATAAAACAATTATTCAGGCATTTGGGATTTCATGTTTATCACATATGTATTTCTATGTCATATATCTTTAGAGTTTATATTTAAATAAAAGTTTATGATCTACTTATATAATAAAACCTGATACTTCAAAGCAAGTTATCAATATTTTATATAAAGATAGATTATATATGCTGAAAGTCATGTAATATATTGCTCGTATAGATTTCAGTATTGTACCAACATCGGTTGAGTAATGCCTATTTAATTGTGAAAATATTGACCCGCATAATAAAATCTTATATGATGTACTTGCATATATACATACGAAATGGTAATTATGTAAACATGCAATGAAGCCTTCACTCAACTATTCACCGACAGGACAAATTCAGAGCGTCCCTGTTTTCGTTCGCGTCGTTGTAATCCTGATAACGAAAATTTCCAACGTCCAATCAAGTGCTACTTGATCTCAAAAGTTTTAATTTATTCATCTCTTATTTCCATTTGGTCATGTGGGTGGCTGCCCGAAAGATCCTATTTTACAAATTTTACTGCTGGTCATAAGAAATACAAAACACTGGGATAAAATCATTTATTATTCTCTTCTATATTGGTTTTTTGATTAAGCCGACATGTCATAGCGAAAAATTCACGGAATTTGAACAGCCTGTACCAACCGACTGTTGTAGAGACATTTCTGCTATTCTTTGTGAAATAGCTTTATACATTGCTAAGGCAATTACTTTGAAGCGGTTGTAAAAACGGTGATAAAGTAAATTTGTTCATATAGGAACCTTTAAATAAAATCTCAAAATACTATCCACTCTTTTTTCCGTATATAATGAACGTTCACGTGTCTTTTCATGCGCCAGATGCCGAAATCTTAGCAATACAGAATCATTAATTCTTCCAAGACACTGGCTAAGTTGGACCGAAAAACTCTTTCGCATGCCAGACTGCCGGCTTCTAAAACACCGGCTTTTTATGATGGACTGATGAACAGAAAACGATCACAATACAAAAGCGAAAGCTAAGTTTAAGGATTAAATGAAAACTATCCTTAAATAGTATGACAGCGGTATTACAAAATGTTATAGGATCTGACCCATAATAATAATAATGGACTATTCCATACTTAATAAATGCTGCGCCTCAGGAGTAGGCAAGAAGTCAGTCGCTCACTTTTGAACAGACTGTTCGGTTCAACTCTCTTCCTACGGGCGAGAGGAACCCGAAGGAGGCTACGCCGAAGGGCGGATCTCTCCTTCGGGAAAATAAGCTCGGCCCAGAACCCGTTTATGCGGGTTCAAGTGGGCTATTTTTGGCCGAGCCTAATGGCTCGGGAATTCCACGTTAAAAGGCCTTGTGCCACATGACACCCTCGTGGGGGTGACTGAATATTGTCAGCCGTTCATTTTTGAACAGACTGCTCGGTTTAACTCTCTGTCTCCGGACGAGGAGGAACCCGAAGGAGGCTACGCCGATGGGCGAGTCTCCTTCGGGAGAATAAGCTCGGCCCTGAACCCGTTTATACGGGGTTCAAATGGGCTATTTTTTGGCCGAGCCTAATGGCTCAAGGAATGCCCACGTTAAAAGGCCTTGTGCCACATGACACCCTCGTGGGGTGACTGAATATTGTCAGCCGTTCATTTTGAACAGACTGCTCGGTTTAACTCTCTGTCTCCGGACGGAAGGAACCCGAAGGAGGCTACGCCGATGGGCGGAGTCTCCTTCGGGAGAAATAAACTCGGCCCTGAACCCGTTTATACGGGTTCAAATGGGCTATTTTTTGGCCGAGCCTAATGGCTCGGGAATTCCCCACGTTAAAAAGGCCTTGTGCCACATGACACCCTCGTGGGGGTGACTGAATCTTGTCAGCCGTTCATTTTTGAACAGACGGCTCGGTTTAACTCTCTGTCTCCGGACGAGAGGAACCCGAAGAGGCTACGCCGATGGGCGGAGTCTCCTTCGGGGAAATAAACCGGCCCTGAACCCGTTTATACGGGTTCAAATGGGCTATTTTTTGGCCGAGCCTAATGGCTTGGGAATGCCCACGTTAAAAAGGCCTTGTGCCCATGACACCCTCGTGGGGGTGACTGAATATTGTCAGCCGTTCATTTTGAACAGACTGCTCGGTTTAACTCTCTGTCTCCGGACGGAGAGGAACCCGAAGGAGGCTACGCCGATGGGCGGAGTCTCCTTCGGGAAATAAACTCGGCCCTGAACCCGTTTATACGGGTTCAAATGGGCTATTTTTGGCCGAGCCCTAATGGCTCGGGAATTCCCACGTTAAAAGGCCTTGTGCCACATGACACCCTCGTGGGGGGTGACTGAATATTGTCAGTCGTTCACTTTCTGAACGACAGAACGGTTAAACCTCTTCTGTCCGGACGAGAGGAACCCGAAGAGGCTACGCCGAAGGGCGGAGTCTCCTTCAGGGAGGTGCTCGGCCCAGAACCCGTTTATACGGGTTCAAATGGGCTATTTTTTGGCCGAGCCTAATGGCTCGTAAATGCCCACGTTAAAAAGGCCTTGTGCCCACATGACACCCTCGTGGGGGTGACTGAATATTGTCAGCCGTTCATTTTTGAACAGACTGCTCGGTTTAACTCTCTGTCTCCGGACGGAAGGAACCCGAAGGAGGCTACGCCGATGGGCGGAGTCTCCTTCGGGAGAATAAAGCTCGGCCCTGAACCCGTTTATACGGGTTCAAATGGCTATTTTTGGCCGAGCCTAATGGCTCAGGAATGCCTACGTTAAAAGGCCTTGTGCCACATGACACCCTCGTGGGGGGTGACTGAATATTGTCAGCCGTTCATTTTTGACAGACTGCTCGGTTTAACTCTCTGTCTCCGGACGGAGAGGAACCCGAAGGAGGCTACGCCGATGGGCGGAGTCTCCTTCGGGGAGGTAAAACCGGCCCTGAACCCGTTTATACGGGTTCAAATGGGCTATTTTTTGGCCGAGCCTAATGGCTCGGGAATTCCCACGTTAAAAAGGCCTTGTGCCACATGACACCCTCGTGGGGGGGGTGACTGAATATTGTCAGTCGTTCACTTTCTGAACGACAGAACGGTTGACCTCTCTGTCTCCGGACGGAGAGGAACCCGAAGGAGGCTACGCCGAAGGGCGGAGTCTCCTTCGGGGAGGTAAAACCGGCCCAGAACCCGTTTATACGGGTTCAAATGGGCTATTT